CTGAAGACTCCTATATGGCATAGACGTTATCTGCAGAGAAGGGAGCATGCTTCTATAGATTTCATTGCCATCCATTTAAAATGTCTATTTTTATGGCATTTCCTAAAAAGCTGGTGCTTTTTCAATCAATAATTTCCAGTAACCATGTAGTATCAAGTAACTCCTTCTCAGTGACCATATTCCTGGATTGCCCTTCCCAATTTTTCAACAGCTGTGAAGATTTAGAAGCTGTACATGATAGTATAAATATGGGTTACTGAAAATCTTATCCACTTATTTCTGTCTGCAGCCCTTAAGTATCTTAAATATAAGTTACAGGGGGATTTTTGTCTTGACGCATACAGAGGGAACAAATTTTGTTCAGCCCCATTGCAGACAGCAGTCTGTACACAGAGAAACCAAACCACTGTTCAGTTTGCTGGCAGCCCACTTTCCTCACAAACAGAAAAACGATAGTGTAACTTGAATCACATGGGTTATACTTAATCACTAGGAAGGGAATCCTGCTCAAGGGCTTGAACATCTTTTAGAAGTAAAATGAAATAAGCTTCCACTTGAAGTAACTTAAAAAATTCCTGCTGCCTCAGTTGAAGTAACTTCACAAGTTGACAAAAGCCACTGAAAAGTTTTGGCTGATTCAAATCTTCACTTACAAGCACAAAAACTTTCAGCTGAAAAATAAACACCATTTAGTTTTTCAGCCCAAATTCTGCAGCCCATAGAGGGACAGTGTAGATATCCAGACCCTGGACTCTTCTCCTGTGTCACTCTGAATGTTTTTCCATCACCACTAAACAAGATTTCCAACAAAGTAAGAACTAGCACTTGACACTAGACCATTACCAAGCTGTTGCTGCCAAAATACATTGAACCTTGATACCCCATCATCCAAGGTCTCTGTGAAATAGGGGAATGAAGTTCTGCCTTTCAAAAAATAAGGGGAAGCACAGACAGGATAAACCAGTGCTGTCCTGACCATGGAGATCTTGCAGCGTTACTCAGTGCTGACAGTGAAAGCAGCAGCGCTTGGCTAGAGAATTACAGCAAGCACCAAGACAGCCACTGATTTCACAGAGGTGTTGGTACAGCCTGGCATCAACTCTGAGAGCAGAAAGTTTGAAAATGAAATTTGCATTTTTAATAGCAACGGTTCTTTGGGTGATGAGGAGGCCAGAGTCAAGGTTAATCTGAGCTTAATGACTCTGGAAAGAAGTTTAATTTATTTGGGACAGTTCAGTTCCAGCATCTATTTTTTTCATTAAAAAAAAAAAAAAAGGCCCCACACCATCTCTTCTTCAGTAGCTGTTTGATAGTAATAAAATCATAGAATGGCATAACGATTCAGAGCTTTCAATCTCTGCCACTGTTGGCGGCGCTCATCCTAATTTCTCTCTCCAGAAGGTCTTTACTAATACCCTGTCTTACTCTCTCTTACCCTTTCTGCCAAACTCCAGAAAACTGGGACGGTTTGGGAGTAGAAAGCAAGGTGGCATTTCCCAGGAGAGCAGCAGGACAGTGCTGATCCAACTGCACCCTGCCCGCACTACTCGGCCCAGCAGCTACATCCTCCCTTTCTTTCTTTCTTCTCCCTTACTTCTTTCACAAATGCAGCAGCACGTTGGAAGAGAAACCCCCAAACATCAGCTCAGGATAACCAGCATGAAGTTGCTTTTTCCAGTCCGGGAGGTAAGCCTGCAAAAGGCACCTGCAGAATACCTGGGGCATCCAGGGCTGGAGCCTCTCAGTGCCACTGGAGCATCAGTGTGTCTCCAGCCACAGAGGATGCTGTGGGTGGCAAGGACCACCCCAGCACACATTTGTCTTCCACCTCAGAATGCTTCTGTCAGCTCTGACCCCAGGTAATGTGCTCAAGGCAGCAACGTTCTGCTGCGGCCGGGATCCCCACATTCCTGGGAAACCACGCAAGATGATTCGAGGCCAACTCCATAATCTGCTGGCAAAGTAAAGCAATCAACCATCTGCTTCACATAAACACATCACCCTGCACCAGACAGCCACCAGCGCCCTTCTGCGCTTCATTTCCCCAGTGCAACCCCAACCAGTATCGATAGGGAAGCCCAGTTCACTACCCGTTACCCTCCCTACCCCAATAGCTGTTGGTAAATGTGCCTTGGCTTCCATTTCAGCAAGCAACCAGGTTGCCCGTGCATTAATAACAGCTTCCACCACCAGTCAAGTAGCCAAGAGCAGCGACACAAGCTGTAGCCGCCGCCGGCAATTAGCAATTGGCAACACTCCCCCCCCCCCGCACATCCCCACGCTGCTTCGCTGACAGGCTCACCAGCCGGCAAATAATTAGCACTACGGCTCCCCTTCCTCTATTGCCTCTCCTTTCCAAACTCAGTTGATTATGTGAAAAATGTTTGGGTTTTTTGCTCATTATCTGGCTAAAATGTTTGAACAGGAAAGGAAGCTGCCACACGCCGCCTGCCGAAGTGTGAATTGGCATTTGCTTGCATTAGCATCCCCACCGCGCGGCTCTTTGTTCATTTTCAGCCGATTTCCTGCTCTGCCACTCAAGCTGGTATTAACACTCACTTTTTTCTGAGCTTTTCTTTTTTTTGGCGGGGGGAGGCGTAGTACTTTGTTTCTTGGTTTTTGTTTTGGGGTTTTTTTTAAATCCTTCTCTGTGTGCTCTCAGTCATCTCTCCTGCCTAGCACAGCATCGATTCAGAAGCAAGGCTGGTAACCAGCCTGATTGCTCAGCCAGCCCAAATGGCAGTGCCAGCCCAAGCACTGAAAATTCATGAATCTCTCTACTCCCTAAAATTGGGAAAATAACTCTTTTTTTCAGGCTTGCATGCATTCTTTTGCAAGCAATCAATGCTACAGCCATTAGAGGTATATTTTTCAAGCTTTTTCTCTCACACCAAGTGGGCCAAAAATTTTCTGAAGAAAAAAATTATGTAATCAATGATTTCAAGCAGCGGTGTTAATACTGGCCCCAGATCTTTCAGAAAAGCTCACCAAGTACGCAAGTCCCTCGATAAAACTGAAAGCACAACACTTCATATATTGATCCCATGGGAATATGTTACAACACAGAAAAGTTCCTGTAAGTTCTTTGACAATAGTTTTTGCCATTTCAATGTCTTCCTAACACCAGGGAGAGAAGAGCTCCTGAGCCCTTACCCCTACATTAAGGTTGCCTCCCCTGCAGCAAGTGTTTTACAGCAGTATACATCTCATAGGGTGACAAAAAAAAAAAAGAGTTAATCCATCTCATTCCCTCAAAAAACAAACGTGACAGATGAAGGAGTACAAAAAACATCTCCTTGCTTTAGCTGAAGCACCAGGGGCGGGAAGAAGGGAGGGTCAGGGCAAACTCCAGTATCCCACCCCACTGCCAGACCATTAGTGGCAGTTCTCAGCAGGGCCCGTAGTCAATGACACTTCAATAGCTCTGGTGCAATTTGCCACTTCCAGCTAGGGCACTGTATTTTATGGTGACCCTGTTTAACTGAGATTGTGCCAGTAGCATCCGGGTTTCCAGGTAAGACAACTCAGGAACTCAAGACCCACGTTTGGAAGCACAGGCAGCAAGGAAAACAGCACAGGTTTTCCTAGGGAGGGTGAGGTGAGGGAGAGAGTTCAACAAAATACAGGTATTTTCCTGTAACTTCGAACCAAATAAAAGAGAATTGCCTGCAGCCATCCTCCTCTCCCTCCATGGATCGTTCTCGGATGTACTGGAGCAGTGTCGGCAGCAGCAGAGAAAGCAAGGGCTGCCTAGAGATTGGTGTCTCGGCAATTACTCAGCATGGGGGTTGTATAGCCAGAACTCGGCTGCTTGCTTCATACACGCCATTTGGCACTTCAGCTCCAGTCATGGTCACAGGACCATAAAAATGTCCTGTCACCCACTCTGCCACCAGAACCACCACTTGTCCCTGCTTATTTCACCATTTAATATTTTGGGGCATTATCTAACCTTCCACCCTCTACTTGAGGGGAGAAGACAAGAAAGGAGTTGGGAATAAGTTCTCAGTAACTGCAATCCAGAAAGGAAGGGAATAAGCCCAATT